GAAGAGTGGAGGGTCTCAGAGGCAGGCAGGGGCCGGGCTCCCAGCAGTGCTTAGTTGCACACAAGTCTCCATCTAGTCGGTGGCCTCGTAGCATCAACAAGCCAGGTCAGGATCTGCGAGAGGGTCAGGAGGCTGGCCATGGACGTGACAAGGAGGAAACAGGAGACCAGGGTATTTGCAGCCTGTGGAAAAGGCAACTGGAAATTCTATTTGGTTTTCAATTTCAAAGTGGAGAGAGGCCAGGGGCTGAGGGACTGGCAGAGGAGAATTTGGAGTCAGAAAGGGAAAGAGAGAAATGGAAGAGGGAGACCCGAAAGACAGAGTCAGAGACACAAAGTCAGAAACAACAGAGATCCCAAGAGACAGAGTCAGAGACACATAGAAGCAGAGGGTTGAGGATGGCAAGCAGAGACCTCAAGGGGGAAAGTCATAGACATAAAAAGATAGAATCAGGGACAGTGTGCAAAGATAGGAAAGGATAGAGTCAGGAGGAGGAAGTGAAAACACAGACATGGAAAGATGTCTGAGCAGAGTGGCTGCCATGCCCTGGTCCTCAAAAACATGAGATGTGTGTGTGTGGAGAGATGTACTATGAACTCCACGCACAGTTCAATTAATATGCTTTAATAAGCCATTTGTTTTATTGGGGTGGGAGCAAGTCTCACTCTGTAGTCCAGGCTAGCCTGGAACTCACTCTGTTGCCCAACCTAGTCTCAGTCTGAAGAGAATCTCCCTGCCTCAGCCTACCAAGTGCTAGGATTGCAGTTGTGAGCCAGCATGCCCAGCAGTTCTCTGCTCTCTCTCTCTCTCTCTCTCTCTCTCTCTCTCTCTCTCTCTCATAACATGGACATATGAGCATTCTGGGGCATATGTCCTTGCAGAGGTCAGAGGAAGATGTTGGATGTCCTGCTCTATTGATCCCGTTTATTATCTTGAGGCAGGGCCTCTCACTGAACCTGGAACTGGGCAGGCACTGAAGGCCCCTGTGATCCTCCTTACACGTGTGCATACTAACACCTGGCTTTTTAGATGAGAGCTGTAGAAACAAACTTGGGTCCTCACCCAATGAGCACTCTGCCCACTGAGCTATCTCCCCAGCCCCAATAATTATAACATTTTAAAAACCTAAACAAAGGGGGCTGGAGAGATGGCTCAGCTGTTAAGAGCACTGTCTGCTCTTCCAAAGGTCCTGAGTTCAATTCCCGGAAACCACATGGTGGCTCATAACCACCTTGAATGAGATCTGGTGCCCTCTGCTGGCATGCAGGCAGAAGACTGTATGCATAAAAAATAAAATCTTTAAAAAAAATCTAAACAAAGGCAGGGGTGACACACCCCTTTAATCCCAGCACTCAAGAGGCAGAGACAAGCAGATCTCTAAGTTTGAAGTCAGCCTGGTCCAGCAAGTTCCAGAACAGTCAGAGCTACAGAGAAACACTGTCTCAAAAAAAAAAATTTTTTTAACAAATTAGGGACATAATGGCTTATGCCTGTAATCCCAGCACTCAGAAGGTAGAGTCAGGGGATCAGGAGTTCAGGGTCATGCTCAGCTATGCATCAGTTTGAAGTCAGCCTGGTCTACATAAGATTGTCTCTCAATCTTTTCTGGTACCCATGGCAAAACACCAATGTACATAAAATAGAAATAAATACATTAAAAAAAAAAGATTAGGTTCAGGAAAACAGTATAATCAGCCATTTTCTAGTCCTGGCTACTTTAGAACCCCATCGCTGAATCCTTTGGCCCATTGGGGATTAGCTTTGCCTTGACTTTCCTCTGAGGGAGGAATTTTCTAGAAAGTCACAAGCATTTCCTACAGAGCCAGGTCTAGAGGCCAGTGCTACAAGTCCAGAGCATGAGTGAGTGTGAGCAGGTTGCATGGATGTGTGAGCAGGAACAAGTGTGTGCCAGCACAGG